ACATTTATATGCAGAGAATCGTAAGTTGGTGACTTATTATCGCTAGTTGCGAATGGCACAAAATATGTTTTATTCAAATTCATTGTTAGAGTTTTGCTATTGAACCATCTCATTATCTTTGAAAAATCAAGCTCGGTCATTGTTTTCAGTTCAGACCATGTATTTGCCTGATACATGACAACTGTATCGTCTGCAAAACTCACAATGTCACCAGATACGTTGAGGCTGAAGAGGTCATTAATATACAAATTAAATAAGAGCGGTCCAAGAACCGTGCCTTGTGGAACTCCGTATTCCATGGATCCTTCGGAACTCAGCTTATCCTCAACCTGTGCTCTATACCTCCTGTTTTCCAGATAGCTTGCCATGAGATCATAGGAGACTCCTCGGAAACCAATTTTTTCCAGAGTGTGCAGTAATTTTATGTGGCAGACCGTATCGAAGGCTTTCGCCAAGTCGACAAAAATACATAGACATGGTTTACTTTGGTCTAGGTTTTTATAAATATTAGCGGTCACATATGCCATTGCATCTTCTGTCGACTTGGCCTGCCTAAATCCGAATTGCCTGTCTGATAAGATTTTGTGCTTATCAAGATATCCAATAATTCTTGTTTTGATGATCTTCTCGAAGACTTTCGCCAAGTTACTAATGAGGCATATGGGTCTATAGTTCAATATTATATTCTTACTGCCAGACTTGAATATTGGCTTTATCACAGCGTCTGTAAATATTGTCGGAAATTTCCCAGATCTGATAGCTTTATTTATGAGGAATGTCAGGGGTCTTTTTATATATTTTTCAATTATTTTCAAGGTATCTGATTTTAGACCGTCAGGTCCAGGAGCTTTTCTAGGTTTCAATGCTTTAATTGTTTCTCCAACCTCAGCCTCGTCTGTTTCCATTATATATATGGAATTTTCCAAATAAGTTTGGGGACATTCGAATGTACGATCAACTTTACAATCTTTGGCTAATTTTTCGCCCATTGTGCAGTAGTGATTCAAAAATGATTCGGCAATTTCCTTTGGTTCATGAATTATCTTTCCGGATTCTAGTTTAATTGTTTTAATATTTGTTGTGTTGTTCGAATTGTTTTTGTTGGTTATGGCCTTCATACATTTCCATAATTTGTTGGAGCAGTTCCTATTCATAATTAATTGCTTTTTATAATAATCTATTTTTGTTTTTTGAATTATTTCTTCTAATTTATTCTTGTAATTTTTAAATTCCCTCATCAAATCTTTGTTTTCCGGATATCTCTGTAGCTGCTTATACATTTCATTTTTTGTATTCACAGATTTGACCAACCCTTGAGTTATCCATTCTCTTCTTTTGATATCTTTTCTATTTATTCGTTTTTTAAAAGTGCATTCTTCTATTTTACTCTGCAGAATATTAATGTATATTTCCGTTTCGACATCCAAGTCTTCTACCTCATAAACTCTGTGCCAAGATTCATTTTCGAGTGATTTTATTAGGTTTGGTTCATTTAATATGTACTTGATATTTATATTTTCCGAAGGCTTATGTTCTCTACCTCTTGAGCAATCAATCTGTAATATGCAAGGAAAATGATCTGTTATATTAATTTGTAAAACTATGGGAGTGAGTAGTTCAAAATATTTTATGGTTTTGACAAAGATATGATCTATACAGGATTTGCTATCCTTGAAAATTCTGGTGTACTCATTGATTGCTGAAACATATCCCATTTCACTAAGAAGATTTAGATATTCGTCTTTATGTTCGCTATTTTGATCAAGAATGTCGATGAAGTCATAATGGCAAATGATGGGCCATCCCGACAATCTATCCACGTAAACCATGTTATGTTTACCGGAACAACTGAAAAGGTCCGCTGACACATCATGAAAAGGATATTCAGGTTTAGGATCATACATTTTGGTTTCTTTTGGCAAAGAAGGTTGCATTAATTGGCAAGAATCACAATTATCAATCAAATTCTTGATATCACTTGTCATTCCTGGCCAATAAACAGTTTGACGAGCTCTGCTACAGGTTCTCTGAATGCCTTGATGGGAATCATGCAATCTTTCTAAAGTAATTTTACGTGCACCTCTAGGAATGAGAATTTGACATCCTTTCAGAATTAGTCCATCATCGATGCTCAGTTCGTCCTTCATATTCCAAAATGGTCTCAGACACATACCAAGCTCCGCTTTTGAAGAAGGTAAGCCAGCCAATATTTGATGTATAAGTGATTGATAATCACTGTCCTTCTCTGCAAAGATTCTTAGATCGGATAACATTGAATCTATCAGATGAACATTTCTTGTAGATTCATTCGTATTATCCGCTATAGTGATTTGTTGAATGATGAAAGAATTCATATGTGTTTGTGTGTCTTCTGCTAAAAGGTCTTCATCCCGTGGAAGTAATACTGGTGACCAAGAGAGAGCATCAGAAACTGAATGTTCTTTGCCTCTTTTCCACAGTGCAGTAAGATTATAGCCAGCCAATTTCTCCTTCAACTTCTGAATCCTAGGGTTCTCAAATTCATCTTATGTATATGAATTTATAATTGGAATGAGTAACTTATGATCTATCACTATTTGAAATTGATCTAAACCAAGTAAATAAAGTCTACATTTGTTTACAGACCAAGTTATAGCAAGTAATTCTAATTCAATTGTGGCATAACGAAACTCAGTATCGGAAATAAAACGAGATCCACACTGTATTAACTTCATTTCACATTCATGCTTTTGCAATAGTGCATAACCAATTCCATTTCGACATGATGCATCCGTATGTAATTCTGTTGGGATGGTAGGATCAAAATGAGCAAATATCGGCGGTTCTACTAGAGCATTGCGAACTTCCTCGAATGCTTCATCATGAATTTGAGCCCATAAAAATGTATTCTTCTTCTGCAACAAACTCCTCAATGGTACGGCATTTATGCTTATTTCTGATGAAAACTGCCCTAATTGATTTACAAGTCCCAGAAACGATCTCAATTCTGTTAAATTTGTTGGCTTCGGGAACTTCTCGATCGCCTCAACTTTTTTTGGATCTGCCTTGATTCCATCTTTGCTCAGCTTGTATCCAACATATCTGATTTCTTCTTGAGCGAATATGAACTCATTTGGGTTGAGAGTTATTCCATTACTTCGGCAACGTTCCAATAATTGAACTATTCTGGAGTAATGTTCCTCGAAGGTTTCATCGAAAACCAAAATATCGTAAACGACTTTTTCGATATTTTGTATGCCTGAGAATGCTTCAAGACCTCGCTCACAATATTCATCTCCAGAAGATACCAATCCCATGGGATCCCTCAAAAAATGAAAACGTCCCCAAGGAGTTAAGAATGTTGTCAGTTTTTGATTCTCAGTATCCAACTGCAACTGCCAGTATCCGCTTGCCGCGTCTAATGAAGAGGAAATCTTTGAGTTTTCATTGACACTTGGAACAGCCTCCCACGGAGACTTGAAGGGATAGATAGGTCTTTTGACGAAACGATTCAGCATGGTGGAATCCAAACAAATTCTCAATTTACCATTTTGTTTCTGAACAACAACTAGTGGACTGATGAAATCAGTGGGATCATTTTCAATTGGCTTTATAATGCCTTTCTCCACCATTTCATCCAATTCATTTTTCACTTCTGCCCTCCAAGCAAACGGGATCCTCCTTGGACAAGATATAGCACAGGGAACGAGATTCTCTTTCAAATGAATATGAACAGATTTTCCTCTTATTGGTTTCAGAGAAACCTCAGAATTGAATACATCTTGATATCGCCTCATCAAATCTTCACGGATATTATCAATCTCTTGTTGTTTGGGGCATTTTGTGATTCTTCTTATTTCCGAAGTTCCTAAACTTTCTGAACAAAGTGTCTTAGGAAAATTTCTATGAATAATTCCTAGTGCAACCATTTCTTTCCTGTCAAGAAGTAATTCTTTCACACCAGCACAAATGTAAATAATTGCATCAGTTTGGAATTCTTCATACTATATGTTACACCAGAGACTTCCAAGTACTCCCAGGCGAGAAGAATTTGCTGATTCCAAGTCTTCGCCTGCTACTGTTGCTTCAGCACCAGTATCGGGTGTGGCAAGATAGTTAACCGTATCATTTATACGTACAGATATTTGTCGCTGATAATTGGTGGTGGTGCTTTCTCCGATCAAAGTTATTTTCAAACACCCTATTTTTGAGGTTTCCTCTTGTTCTTCTTCAAAATGATCCACAGCAGAAATTGATTTTTTATAGCAACATTCTGTGAGATGTCCTTCCCTATGACATTTTTGGCATATTGTATTCTTTCAAACTTTTATGCCATGTTTCTTTACATCGTGGACATTTTCTTGAAATTCCAGAATTTGTTTTTGTTCTGTTGATACTGGAGATGTGTCTTTGAGATCGCCCTTCTTCTAATACGGCTGCTGCTTTGGACTGACACAACTTGAAAATGTCATCGACCGTCGCTGAATCTGGAAGAATTCTACATTTTCTTCTAAAATCGCTGTCGTGTACCGCTTCTATAATATGATCTACCAAACACCTATCATAACAATGTCCACATGGATCTGTTAACTGTAATAACTTCAATTTCTCTCGATAAAAGGATATAAACGATTCTTCAGGCTCTTGTTCTCTTGCCATAAACTGGCTGCGCCTGATACGTCCATTTTCCTTTTGTCTAAAGTAGTCTTCCAGTTTATCCAACATCTGTGTTGCATTCACGTCATTGATACTTTCAAATTCCAGCACCAATCTAACTACATCTGAAATCTCCTGGCTGAAGAAAGATGTCAACAGAGCCGTCAATTGATGTGGTACGACATTTTCCAATCCTTGGAATATTAAATAATTGTGAAATTTCCTGCGCCAGTCTTTGAACTGTGCGAAAGATAGGTGGTCTACGATTTTTTCTGGACTTGGTTCAGCGCCTGATATACGTATTCCTTGGGAAATTGTTTGAGAACAATTACTCTCTGTTGGAAAATTCTCATGTGAATTTATACTTGATTCATTGGGCAAAACATCTATTCTAGTAGGAGTATCTTCGATATTTGAATTCGTACAACCTTGTGATTGCAACAAAGCATCCATTGTATCTTGCAATTTTTTCAACTTGTCATCGAAATCTGATTTCATATCAGAGATCGACTTTTTGGTAGTCTCTTCAAGCACCTTTACAGCATCTTGCGTCGAAGATATGGTAGATTCAATGGAAAGTAATTCTGATTCAATGTCTTCACTCAAATCACCTTTATATTTCTTCGAACCCTTCGGCATTGTAACGATATTCTTCAGTACACTATTGAATTACCGACTGCGCCATGATATGTTCAATATCGAAATGATCTTTATTGATGTAATAAATGATTAAGTCTATTGACAATTCAAATATACCTCTCTGACATTATCTGTCTAAAATACAGAGTGATACTCCAACAATCACGAAATTCGAATCGACTGGATTTGTGATATATCTGGAAAATGTTTGGTAGAAGTCCATATGTTGAAAGTGGAGTAGTATTCTCGAAAGAAGGACGGACAGTTTGAAGTCACGTCCACACAATTTAATGACGTTGTTGTACTATCAAGGACATGTTTTGGTCTGTAACGAAAAATTGAATTTGTCGTTACATTTCTACTAATCACATCTCTGTATTCTATGCCTCTAGTCCGATAGTGCGTTTTATGTAGTGCCCTACCCACAAATATCATTTACTCTCGCCAATAGTTCTGTGACACCGTGAGTTTCATCTCCAATTTCGAGATTGCTAACGTTTGCCAGGAGAATGACTCTCACTGCTTGAAATATTTGCAAGTTCCATGAGTTCGATTCATGTTCTGTGGTCAATCTATCATCTTGGTTTCGTGTTTTGTATCAAAACATAATTTATTTGTTGGGTTGGTAAACGGAGGATTGTCCATCTCACTTCATCATATAGAGTATGATATATGGAAAAAGTAAACATCAGATTTGAAACAAAAAAAAACCTTTTTTGTTGACTTGAAGGTTTTGTGACTTGAGACAGGTAAAACCATTCCCTTTTGCACTTTCTCAATTTTCAATCATTGTCTGAATACTAGCTGTTAAATGTTTGCAGTTTCTCGTATAGTAGCAAATTTGGTAGTTATTTTTTCTTTTCCTGCCATTTTGGAGAGATTAAATATTTTCCAGATCAGGCATGGTCGCACATGTCTGACTTATGATTTGAGTAAAGATCATTGAGTTCACAGAATGTTCCTTGCACATAACTTTTTGAATCAAATATCATTCCTGCCTGGCTTTCACTCAACGTTAAACGTATTAGTTTGCACGTGCTTTTCATTTATATGATGATAGAGGTTTCTAGGACTGAATAAAAACCATTTTTCTGATATCATCGCAATCTTTTTGAGACAGCTACTGTGCCATAGATTTGTTCTGTCGTTGTGATCATTTTTCAGTGCTATCCACGTGCTATCTGGAGTACTACACAAGTGCTATTTGAAGTGTTATCAGACAGAAGGGATTATAATCCAAGGAGAGATTCTGGAAAATTTGAACCCAAGGAGTGTGTAACCAGGAAAGGGCCTATTGAAGTACTACGCTGAGTGTAAGGTGGGTGGATTTTCAATTTAATATGCAATCATTAGTAGATCAAACAATTTCACGGATCAAATCCATAAGTGAGACTCCACTCTCCTACACGACAGACGTAGTTGTCCGTCCTGTTGGCATAACTTACACTTTCCACTGATTTCATATACTAGGGGTCATATCGCTTTCTTGGTGAAGTATTCACAGATTTCATATAATTGGGGCATTCACATACATTTATTATAGTTCTTCTCTTGTACTGGTGAATTATTTAGAGTTGGTATAAGATCTTTGATGAAGTTGTATTCACATTCTTCAGTATAGCATATTTCATAGAGTTTTAAGTGAATTATTCACATTTTTTTGATATTGTCAGGAAATTGTCCTTCGCAGGCCTGAGTCGGTGTTTTGGTAGTGAGCATCAGCATCTAGAGTTTCGAGTTCAGTTACTGCCTATTTGTAGGTTATGGTACCGGCTAATTGCCACATTTGAAGGGATGAAATTCATTCCGGTGGTGTTTTTTGATAGAACCCTGATTCACTACTGTACTTAGTGGTTCCTCTGTGTTATTACATTTCGAGACACTGCAAGATATAGTTAACAGCTATGTAATGGTCACCTGTCTCAAAGTGCAAACCCTTTAACCGACTTTCTTGAGCTTTCCTTGAGAAATATTTCTTCATCTTTTCAATATAATTTTTATATGAAATAACTCCTATTATTTCAGTGATCCTACTTTCAATCCGAGAATACCAGAAATTGTCTTGAGATCAGTTATCTTCTTGTGAATTTTTTTATGTGAATTTTTCTCACTAGTTATCAATTTTCTTGATATAATTTCCTCATTTTTGTAGAAGTGCCTCGTTATCTAGAATTATTTTCAAATTCACTATCAATTATTTGATATTATTTTCCTCACTCTTGAAGAAGTACTTCACTCTTTCGAATAAAATCTTCACATATTGAGTGATATCAATTTCATCCAATTGATTTTTAGACAATTTTTGGCTATTCCATGAAAAGTTTCCTTTGAACATTATTTGTTCAAGTAACAGATATACTTAATTAGTACCATTTTAGTCCATGGTCATAATTTGTATCCTAATCAGTAAATTTTCATCATCAGTAATTCTTACTATTATCAGTCATTTTCTTTCAATTGAAAAAAAATATTGAGAGTACAATTTTTCCTACCACAGCAATTTCAATCACTTAATAATTTTCAATTAGTCAAACTATTTTATTATTTTCAGTTAAAATTTGTAAAAATTGTAGGATATAATTCATAGAATCGATTCTATAAATTTATTTTCTTGTAGATTATATATTTCCTTATATACATTATAAAGTTCGTATAAAATTTCTAATTATTGGATCCATAGTTAGTTGTATCACTTTGGATTATTTTTTCCATTCCTGCATCCTTTCCTCTGAATCTTGCTTATACTGCTTCACGTTTATTTCATGACACACCTTGTGAGACACAACCACAATTGAAGAAGACCAACGACTCGTGTGCAGCTCACGGTTTATGGGGAAGAGAAACCTTATGTCGATATTCTAAAGGTAGCCTGAAAAGCCAGTCCTAGAGCCTTACCAACGGTGCCAGTTAGATCATCAACCTAGCAGTTATATTTGATGATATAACTGTGAAGGAAGCCTGTTCTACCAGTCTTGAGACAGGAGTGAATCCGTGAGGAAGCTACCAGATATTCTCTGACCACTATCCAGAGTAATTTCGAGGTGTCAAACTGAACAGCAGTATATCTTTTCAATCCTATTCAGCCTCCTTATTTTTTTCTTATTAGCTTTTTGTACAATTTTGAATTGTTTAAATTTCTTGATTAATTACTAAATTATTTTAACTAACTTTTCTAACTCCGGTTGAAAAATTGTAGTCGAAATTACCGATTGTGAGCTGAACTAATATACTGATTAATTTGTTACTCTTGTTGTCGAAAAGTTGTATATTATTGCTCTCCCACATGTGCAACATATAAATTTGAAATAGTTTTCAAAGTGTCACAACTCAAAGGATTATTTCTGGCGCCCTCCCAAGTGAAAGTAGGACTGACAATCACTGTACATCAAGACCTCTCCTAAACAACTTGATTACAAATTTGCTAGTTTTTATAAGGATTCTTCCCTCACCCATCCCTAATTATTTCTCATGCTCGAGTGTTTTGTTATAGGTCCCAGAATAGATCACCTTCAACCTAATGAGGAATTTTACGATAAATAAAGAATTTTTTTGACAGAAGAGAAGAAGATAGTTGACTTACTTGAAGTTAACGAAGTTTCATAAAGTAATCTAGTCATAGTATATATGCCTGCCGATGCCCATTGTCACAAGTTCAAGTGTCAGGAAATGATAAACAAGCTCTCATCTCCTCCATCCTCTGTCATTTGAAGAGCAAGCGATATTTCTTCACCGAATTGAATGCATTTTAACTCATAGATATGGAGAAATACAAATTCAGTTTGAGTAAATACGGTCCTGTGAAACACAAAATGTTTTACAGAGGCCTCGTGCTGAAGGATAAATTCTAAAATTTCGCTCATTCGATTGAATTCCAATAGAAATGAAGACATTATCGGCTTCGAAAAAGTGTCAATATCTACAGGACACCTATACTCAATACGGCTCTGAGAGCTATATCACTGGTCTTTGAGGATTGGGCTCATGAAAACATTCGATCTCAAAAGTAGTTAAACAATGCGGTTTGTAGGGAATTTTGGCAGTTGGCCCGCCTAATGGAAACCTATTACATTCATTATGACGTATAACGTTCAGTTCACTTAATAATAATTTTATTCAATTAAAAAAAGATAATCATACCGTATAGGATTTGAACTTTGAATCTCTGGGTTGGCAAGCCGACACGTTACCAAGTGGCTATGGGGGGTCCAATTTATCAACGTGCAAGTGTAGGTACGACTCAACTTGTCCCCCTGTTTTCGAGAGATATTTTTTGGAGGTCCATGAGTATGGATTTTCGACATATGGATGGGTATATGGATATTTGGAGGGGTTCATTTTGCTTCATTGGGCCAATATGAGCAATTTAAATAAATATATTAGACTTATGAATGAGTTTCAGTAAATATTTCTATGTTCTACATAGATTTGATTTTACGGTACTGCTAGTGTCCTCACTCGGATGTGAGTGGAAACTGTTTGCTATGCTTACCTTCTCCTATTACAGAGGTCTTTTTGAAGAATCCACTCGTATGTGTTACGCTTCAACCTAATTCCGCGAGGTGTCGCTACTGATACTGTTTTCAATATTTAATATGTTTTGCTAGTCTATACGGCCGTTTTTTGTGTTGCTAAAATATTCATCTTCACTATTATTTGAAGACCCTAACAATAAAATATGTTTGGTTCCTCTCATGGGCTATTATCAGAATTCAAAATCATTACCTATATTTGGCTTATGATGGGTAATATATGAGATATTTCTGAGAGTAATTCAGCTTGCATGATTATCAATTTTTCTCAAATAATATACATAGTCTGTTATATATTTCTTTTGAAGATTTGAATAATAATAATTATAATAATGAATAAGTTTATTCAAAAACTTTTTCAAAATATACATTGGAACAACAGATATTTATTTTGAATGAAGAATCCTACGAATCGTTTCCAAATGAGCAATATCTATTCAAAGTTGAATCAGATTAGAAAGTCAATGACAA